TTTTTTCTTAATTTTTGTTAGAAATCTTTTTATTCAAGGACAGATTAACGACTAAAGTAGGAAACATCACCTTTAAGTGCTACTGAATTGATGAATGATCTTCTCAAGGAAGAAAGTTTGATAGATGAATGCATAGAATTCTGATACCTGGGTTGTGTATGTGCACAGAGGAGAGGAGGGTGGTGTAGCAGGGAGTTGGAAAAATAAAGGCACTGAATGCCAAACACAGAAGTTAAAAGCTTTGTGATATGGTGTTGAAGTTCCATCAGTTCTGTTAAGGTTGATGATCTTACAAAGTATATCATCAAAATATTTATTCCTTTTGATAAATGATTATTACTAAAAAGTCATTCTACAATTTAATAAAGTTCTAAGAACACATACGGTCCTCATTTTACAGGGAAAGGCACTCAGATCCCGATTTCTAATGTTGCATAAGAAACTATGTCATCAATAGTGAGGTAGGGATTGGAAATGAGGGCCTTGAATGCTGTGTCCTTTGTCAACAGAGTACTGAGCTTCCCAGCAGTCAGTTGCAGAGATTCAGGGAATAAAAATCTCTGAAGAAAAATGAAGCGGGCAGCACTACCTTAACATTTTCAACTTGCCTAAAGAGGGTGTGAGAATGGTATTTTATTTATTTTAAAAATTGATTTGGTTAAGGAAGGTGAGATATAATGAGAACAGGAAGCTGCTTGCTCTATTGCAACATAAATGAGCTTCCTTGAAATCTTCAATTTTTACTATGTCTTGGTTTACAGTGGCATCATCACAGGTCCTTGCCAAATGCCATTGATCCACATTTTCTGTTCTAATTTGGGTTGATCCTTGTTGTGTAGAGCATGTTGCTAGCACACAGAAGATCCAGGGGAAGACAGCAAAATGATAGTAGTCTTGATTTATCTCTTTTGCTGTTTTTCTTTAAGTCAACTTCATTTAACAGTTGCAAAGAAAATAACTTTAAGTAGATTTATGTACAAAGCTACCTCTAGCAATTTAATTATTTTATTACTGTCTTTAATAATCTCAAAATATGGCCGGGCGTGGTGGCACATGCCTGTAATCCCAGCACTCGGGAGGCTGAGGCAGGAGGATAGCTGTGAGTTCGAGACCAGCCTGAGCTACATAGTGAGTTCTAGGTCAGTCTCACGACATAGTGAGACCCTGTCTCAAACCCCCCCCAAAAAAATAATATCAAAATATGAAGACACTTAGGGTCTATGACATCATGAAACATTAAACACTACAATTTTTTACATTCCCTTAGTTCTTATAATCATGTTTATGTGACTTCAAAGCAATTTTCTTATTGAGAGTAAGAGTTCTAATTGGTTAGGTTGTTTTAACAAAAATAGTTTGATGTTAGATATTATTGCTGAATCACTGCTATACTTTTTATCTGTATTGTGAGCAAGTATCTTGGTGATGAGTTTAATATATTCCTAGAAGAAAAGATAGTGCCTGCCTCTTCCTCAATCTAAGTGCACTTCCCCTGTTAAGGCATTTTGCAATATATTTATCACAAAAGTATTACTGCTTTAAAGTCCAGCAGTTACTCTGATACTTGGATATGCCCAAGTCATCTCTTTTTAACTATTCCTCAAGCGTCTGGCTTCAGTGTTCATGTTCTGCTCAGAACCTGAACAGTCATATTTACATCTTCTTATCCTCATAATTCAGCATCGCAGAAAAGAGAAATTCAAGGTTCCAATTAATGGGGATTTCCTTTTGGTTATAATGTTCCAATAACGGTCTGCTGAAAATCTTCTTGTAAAAGAAAAAAATCAAATAACAGAAAACAGTCCACTCTCCTACTATCAAGGTCATTACTGAACTCAGTGCCTTCGGTTTAAAAGCACAGAGATGCCATCTAGCAGCCATCTCCAGGAATTTCCTGCCCAGAAACCATCCTTTTCTATGAAACTGACCAATAGCTGAATTGCTGCAATCTTTCATTTAAAAAAAAATACTTATCAAATGGTGATTTGGCATTTTGCCTATAATTCAGAGACTCCATTACAAATGAAATTAATTGGTATCACTTAAACTAGGCAGAGAGACATACACACAAATTTTTTAAGTAACTGGAAAGTTGTTAATTAGACTTTAATTAAGAAAGCATAATTCAAGTAATTTCCATGAGTGAAAATTCAATAGCAAGCCTATGTAAAAATACAAATAATTAAATAGTAGCAGATTGCTTTTCTTTCCTGGAAAAATACTAATCTTGCCAAATTTTGATAAGTTAAGTGAGAGAAAGAAGTGCATGCTGGAGAAAAGTTCATTCTATAAACTTAGATGTTTGGATTTTTAAAATTTAAGTAGAAAATTGATTTTCAAATAACAGCATCAGATGGCGAAACCTAAGCACTTATATAAAATGTCATGTAAGATCTGTAAACTTGTATCATAAAAAAGAAAAGAAATATAAAAGTAAACATTATATGGCCTCCCATATAACTGAACTGGTACTGTTCTTACTAAACTTTTACTTTCAGTAAATTAGATACAATATGCAGTCTGTAAATTTTAGAATTACAGTATTGGATAGATGTGAAATTCTATACCTTAGAAATACTGTACTCACTTTTAAGAGCTCTCCTCTTTTGTCTGATTGTATCCATATGTGACTATTCTTATATCTACACTGAAGTGAAAAGTAGAGTAATACTTTAAAAATGTTTTTCAAAATTTGATCATGGCATATAATAGCTCTAAGATATAATATATATAAAATCAAGTGTTTAGAATTTAGGTTCATTAACTCTCCTCATATAAATTATTACTAGGAACAAGAGTAATAATAAAAACCTAAGGAAGTATTTAGGTTTTTACTTAATTGACAATTATTTTGAGAACACAATTATGTTGTTTATACTTTTGAGGTGGAGTTACAAAATTGTTTGTAACCAAAAATTGTTATGTAAAACTGCAAAAGAAGTCACTACTCATTTTTATAAAGCAATATATTGTCTACATATTTAAAAACTCGACATTGAAATTACTTGTCATTAAATTTTTAATATTCTGTATAATGTCAAATATAGTATAAAAGAAAATATCAGCTTTTGTTCTTTGCATACTGCACTGAAGTGTCTAGGAGCTAAGAAAGACAGTTTGAAAAGTTAATATATTTCTTTCCTTTCATGGATTTCTCTTCTCAATTGTAGCAAACGTTCACATTTCAGTTAGATCAAATTATAAAGTTTTATATCATTCAGTATGCAGAAATTAACTATTGAAGACTACATAAGGTAATAGTAGCTAAAAACGGACTGCTTGGGCGGGGATTAATTGACTTTTTCAACAAATTCATATATATTTGTGTGTGTGTGTGTGTGTGTGTGTGTGATTTCAGAAAGAATGATATTCCAGAAATGAAAATGTTTATGCATTAAACATATGAATCATACATGCAATTGTTAATGAGGCTGTAAATCCCTGAATTTTTTAAAATGATAAAATTTAAAGTGATATTTATGTCTATTAACTCATTGATTTTTGCTTCTTAGAAGTATTTTACCAAAAATTTACCAAATGGCATGTATAATAAAATATATTCAAAAGTTCTAACTGATATCACAGAATTTAGTGACATGTCACTACAGGTGTAGAGCAGAAGGAAAAGCTTTGAAGCTTTAAAACAAAATCAATATATCTATGCAGGTGTAAATGCCTAAAACTAACCCTTAGTTTATAAAATATAGCAGAAAGATCTTTAAGCTTCGATGCACAAACTGTGTGAAGCTGTCACAATGAAAATGTCATTGCAAGCATAACTTTAAAAAAATGCTTTAATTTTCATCATATCTTTGTAAAGTAGAAAAGTGTAGATATATAATTATGAGTGTATATGACATCATTTTAAGTGTTCTCTATATTTTATGTTAGGCCTAGATATAATATGAGCATAGTAATAGATTATATTGGTTACATCGTACTTTTATTCAATTATGAAAGAAACTTAATCTCTGTACACCAACACAGAAAATGTAGAGCTTTAAAAATAATTTCACAACAGTTCAAAAAACAGCTTAAAATGTTTTCCTTAATAAAACATCACCACTTTTCAGAGTGTCAATTTGCTGTTAGTTAAATGAGTAAAATAATAAATAAATTGCATTTCTTCTTACCAAATGCTTACTCTAGATAATCATGATTTTCCTAGAATGCTGAAGCTCTAAAATTCAGCACAATTCACCACGAAGACTTTTCTCACACATCACTGAAAACATTTTCTCTTATTTTCCTGCCTTTTTATCAAAGGATCTTAGCTTTCGCTTTGCCAGTACCAGATAATTTTAAGAGTTCAAAAGCTATGAGACAACTTATTTTTCCTGTCACCCTCCTTACTTTGATCGGGCTTTTCTTACTTCTTGTTTCTTAATGCTAATAATTAGAACTTCCTCAGTGTTCCCTAATTCCCCTAATGAAAGGAAAGAAGCAGACACAAGCCCCTTTCGGCAGTGCCTCTCAGCCATGGCAGAATCTGCCGCTCTGCCGTGTGTGCTACAAGCAGTATTCCAAATGTTTTGAACACAAACCGCAGCACGTCTGCGATGGGAGCATTATTGACCAGAATCGGCTGGAAAATGCTTTCCTGCTTTCCACAAAGAAACGCTTCACCATCTCCTAATATATGTTTATGGATTGCATTGTTTCAACGGCAAACTCCTTCGCATTATCTGTCCGAGTTCGGAAGAGAACATTAAGCAGTTTGACACGGAAAAAGCTAAATCCCCCTGCAGCCGCATTGCCCGCTGCCCATACACATTATATTCGCTCGTGTTCCCTCCCCCCGGCAAGGACTCTTACGTTGAGGAGCTATTCCTCCGGTAGTTCACCTTGTTATCTTCCAAGCAGTGGGAAATGCACCAGGCACCAAAAGGTAGCTGAAAGAGCTGACTCCCGCGCCGTTTGGGGCATATTTATTTGCGTTTTACTCTGTTTGTTACATATTTCACATTTATTTCAAACAAGAGTCAAAGTATTGTCCATACCTTGGAAGGGTCTAATCCAGCCAGCAAAGACAGCAGCAGGAGATTGAGAAGCTTGGACGTCGCCTGCATTCTGCTCTGGGTTTCTGTCCCCTCTGTACTCTCTTTTATGTAGCCACTCCGCTCTCACTGCGGAGACCCTTCCCTCGTCAGTTGCACTTTCTGCCTGCCAGTCAGAGCAGAGTGGAGGCAGAGGCGGTGGCGGCAGCGGCAGCAGTAACAGCAGCAGAGGCAGCCGCCCTGGGGGGCGATCATTCCGCAGGCGTTCTCAGAGCTGCGAGTCCCGGGAGCTCCAGAGGGCGGATTGGGCTGCAGTGGGCGCTGGCCGAGGTACTGAAGCGCCTCCCGCCCGGGAGCCACAGTCTAACCTCTTCCCCGCTGCTAGACAGCCAGCCCACCTCAAAAGTTTTGACCAAGAGAAAGAAAAAGGGAGTAAGTGCTGAGAGAGGTGTGGAGACCTGGATAACGGATATGACATCATTACAGCTCCTGGGGGGTTTGGGGGATATTTTGCTGGGAAATTTGTTAACCAAACAAGATTGACTCTTGTTCGTGCTCCAGTTAGGCATTAGCTGGCAACTTGAGCTTCGGGGAAAGAGGTAGAGTCAGCTAGATTCAGGATTATGAAACAATATTGTACTGGAACCTTCTGCTGTCATTGACAGAGGACTTGATATTCTGCTTAGTGCTTTAAACAAAGTTTACAGTGCAGACTGCCAGAATGTATTTCTTATACAAACACACATTTTATTAATGATTACAGAAGTGTATGATAATTTATAGATCAATCTTTTATGCATACTTTGTTAAAATAGAAGTTTTGTTTAGGTGTTGTGTATTTATCTATTTAGGTCTTTTGTCCAGGGGAAAATACTATGCAGAATAAAATGAAGAGGCTTTGCTTATTTTGTTTCATCTTTTAGTATAAATAAATGATTTATTGCATCAATGCCCCCAAATGAAAAATGTCCCCCGACACACACAGAAATATCCAGGAATATAGTTCCCTGTCATTCTGACGGGTTCTTGTGCCTCAGGAAAAATTCAGTGACAGATGCCCAGTTAGATGGGAGAAGCGCTTGTTTCTCAGCATCTAAACACTTGTGTTCCAGAGCTGAAAAAAGGCAGAATAACTGCTTCATAACAGCAAAGAGAGGTTAAATGGCAAACCAACTCTCTCAATCATTCTGCATTAAGTACACTCAAACAACTTCATTTCTTAAAAGTTTAAAATGTGAGTGTTCTCAGTAAGCAAGAAGTAGGAGAAGAGTTGGCACCACCCTGAAGCACCACTCTAACATGATTATACCTTTAGATTTCCAGCTTCGATTGTTTTTCTAAAGTGATGCAAATCAGAGATAAAGACATTACTTCTTTTTACTTTAAAAAAGAACACAAATTGTTGGATATTGTATACATAATGTATAAAATTTCCAGCAACCCTTCAATGAAAATACTACATTCTAAAAATACATCATAATTAGGATTCACATATTCTTGAAAGTTGTAATTTGCAAGGAATTATGTTATATTGCATCTGTTTTCCTCCTGACATTATAAATATGTATGCATTGTGGATCATAACTTAAGTCTTCTTTCCTACAAAATATAGAGGAGATAAAATAAACTAAACCTGAAAATTACTTTTAAAGTAATAAATTATGCATAATAAAATGATTGCAGAATAATAGGAAAATGTAGAATTACTTAGGGTCGATTAGTTCAATGATAGCCCTAGCATACACCCATTTGTAAATTCACATTATTTTCTAGCACAAATGAAAATGAAAGTTTCCTTTTGAGGTTAGGTAAAACTACAGAGTGGAGGCTGACACTCTTTGGAATGACTTCTCTTTCTATATTTGCTTCTCGACTTTTACTTTCTCACTATCTGATAAATATATGCTCATTTTTCAATAATTCATAATAATTATTGAAAATTTTATTATGTGCCTATTTTAAAATCTTACACGAGTGCATGGTTAGAAAATAAATGTGCAGAATTGTAGCTAGTGAGATAATAGTGCATCTCTTAAACTGTTTCATAAACACAATTTTTATTATTTGTATTTCAGCATACCTCTTCTCTTCCCTAGGTTTCTTATCTTTTTCTTTTTCTCTTTCTCTCTCTCTCTCTCTCTCTCTCTTTCTTTCTTTCTTTCTTTATTTCTTTATTTCTTTCTTTCTTTCTCTTCCTTCCTTCCTTTTTACACCTCTCACTTATCAGTCACTGGAACACACTTGTTTGAGTATAGGGAGTTGTATTTAGTATGTACATATGAAATTAATATAAAAACATAATCATACCTTTTATTTTTTCAAGTTCAACAGGTGTTTTTATAATAACAACATCTTTTCTTGGATGTAAAATATTTTTATTTCTTAAATTGTTCATAATAGTAGAATAAGACATCTATGTGAGAACATTTTCCCCTTGAAATATCCATTTTTAAAATATTTTGTAACATTGGAATGTCATTTGTAACAAGGAATTCATAAGAAGATAAATTCTGTGAAATCTTGCCAGAAAAATATGATTGAAGAGCATGATGATATTTACATATATAAAATCCACAACATATGTTACTCATGTTTCCAATCAAAACAGATAATCTTAGCATGCTTGCAACTTACCTGCCATAAGAGAAGCTTATTCATTTGTACAGAACAAGCGAATTCAGTAATAAATCTAAGCTGTGCTAGAGATGCCACTAGAAAAAAAATCTAAATTAAGCAACACAAATTCACCAACACCGTATTATTTTCTTGATCTTTCTTTGAAAACTAAACAATAAAATTGCTTAGTTTTAAAAAAATATTAAACTATTACTGACTATTCCATCTAAGTATTTTTATAATAAACCCATGTGGTATTTTTTATGTCGTTAATTTAATGTTATCCTAGGCCATATTATACAGAACATCTGTGCACAGCAATCTAGACAGCATTTCTCCTTACAAGAAAAAGGTTGCCGAAGCTTTCATTATCTCGTGTTTTGTATTATCTACTCAAAAGTGTTCTACATTTATAAGAAATATATCTCCATTTGTTTTTCCTGCCATGAAAAATGACTGAATTAATTCACTTATAGCAAATTATGAAATGTGACCCATGGTACAGATTTAGAAACCTTACATCTATCATTTCAAGAATTGGAAAACATTTAATATTTTATATCTAATCAAAGCTATCCCTTTCTACCTATGATAAGCACAAAATTGCGCTCAATTTTGTATAGAGCCATGAAATTTAACCAGTGCTATCCAAAGATAAAAATATCTTATTATACATATAATACCTAAAATAAATGACATACTTGCTGCAAAATTTCCTCCAATAAAAGTTATTGATTCACTTCCTCATGATCTTAATCCCTCAGAATACTTCCACTTTGCCCTTTTCTGTTCTGCTGTTTCTTGTGTGTAACTGTTTTCTTTACTAGCTTGTAAGTCATTTCCACCTAGGTACCCTATCACCCCTAACTACTTTATCTAAATGAGCAGCCTGATAATTCTTTGTTTTCCAATGGTTTACTATGCCATTTATTTTACATTTGTCTCCTTTACTAGAATGTATTCTACGAAGGGTTTCTGTTTGGTGTTCTGATCTAATCTAAGCATCTAGAACACTACTTGGAAACTGATCATTTAGTCAATAATGGTTTAGTGAATAAATGAATGAATTGTTCATCCTTAGTTACTTCATGGATGATATTTGCAAGACCAAGTTTTGTTAAACGTAACTACTTAATTTCATATAGCATTCTCAAACATAGAATTTTATGTCATTATCTTTGTAAATTCAAACAAGCTTGTGGTATGATTCTCTTTCCTTTGCAGATTAAGAAACATGAAAGTAACACTTGATTTCTTCCTCCTCTTTATCCCTAGATTCAAAACATCAGCATAGGGCTGGGATTTAGCTCAGTGGTTTTGCCACTTGCCTCACAAGTGCAAGGTCCTGAGTTCGATTCCTGGTACCAAAAAAAAAATCATCATACTGTTAAGTGAATCTCCAGATTATCTGGAGATATTAAGTGAATTCAGATTACAAATCCATTTCACTTCTCCATGTTTACCTAGATGAAGGCCTCAAGTTAAGTTATCTGATTAATTACAGTGGTTTCTTTCTCTTGCTCTACCATCAGGTTCTTTTACTTCTATTTCAATCTTAATTTATAGGTGACAGATCCAAAGATTAATTGACAATGATACCTCACATAAAAAGGCCTTGAGTAACTCCTTATGTAGTCTATATTTTAAAATGACTGGTACAGGATTCTGCCTGATATGGCTCCTTTATGATAATCCAGTCTCTTGTCTCTTAATAATTTGAATCCAGAAATACTTGTACTACTTGCACCCCTTAATACTGCTCTACTACAATATTTTCCTTTTCTCTTAATAGTTCTCATTCTGTTTCTGACTTTCACTTTTAATATCACCAAATCCAGAAAGCCTTTACTGGACTCCTAGTATTGTTTCTCCAGGTTTCCCTTCTTAGTGTGTTTCATAATGTCTTACACATCTTTTCATTGTTGTATTTGCTAAAGTAGATTATTCAAAAATATTTGAATGTCTTTCCTCTTCACTTGATTACAAACTCCTTGAAAATCTATAGGCTATCTACCATAACAGAACTAATTCTTCAAATGTCAGCAACCAAATAATAGTATGTCATTAACTGTCATGATTCAGGGGCAGTTCTCATTTGATTTCTTACACAACTTCAGGCAGTTGGAGAACGGACATTTTAGGATCACACTCGACTGAATATCCAAGATGGGCATGCACATGGCTACCACTGATGCTGGCTCTGAGCTAGGAGCTCAGGTGGAGCTGCAAGTGGGATAATCTGCTCTAATTTCTTCAGCATAGCAGGTAGGTTCTAAGGGACTACCCTGAAAGGTAGTATTCTAAAAGACCTACGCATAAACTGCAAGGATTTTTCTGACTTCTGCTCAGAAGTTCCAGGATTCATATCTGTTGCATTCTTCATGGAAGCAAGTAATTGAAACCAGTAAAAACTAAGGGGATAAAAATTAGGTTCCATTTCTCAATCTAAAGCATTAGATGTGCATAAAGGGAAAGAAAATATTGATGACACTTATTTTTGAAATTGTACAACAAAGGGATTATTTTGCGTGCTTATTTTAAAATCCACATAATGTCCCTGCCAAATATTAATTTATGTAAGTTATATTTTGAAGGTGGACTTTGAATTGCAGATAACTTGGAAGCAATTTCAGTAATAGAGAATTTTATATTTATAAATAAACACAAATATTATGAAGGACTTGTATTTCTAGCAATGCCCAAGGATCTAGTCTCTCATTAATAGTGACCAGAAAAGCCAGGAAAAGTACAAATGCTGAAGACACAGGACAACTATTTCTTTATTATTGCACTAGTGATGGAAATATGGGACTAAGGACAGGCAAAGTAAAGGTCAAACATTTATAGCCATTTTTCCATTTGGAGCATCTGCTGTCTTCAAGAATTTACCT